TAGACAATATAATGTGATAATTCATATATATGATCGGCAAATGATCGACATTGTGATATAAGCATGACCGCTATGCTTATGTATTACTTAATACTGAAATTATCAATTGAAAATGTATCTCTTTGACCTTCTTTTATGGCTTTTCTAAGATCACAATTAAAAATAACTTTATATATTTCTTCATACATAAGGAGGCCCTTACTTGAGTATTTATAATCTAATAAATTTTATTAGCAAAAAAAAAAACTCATCTGGTCAATAATTATAGATCAACAAACGCCTAATGAAATTTCCCCATAATATTAGCATTTTTTGTAAATAGTCAAATTTCGTCCTATAATGCTAAAAATAGCCTTGTATAAAGTAAATTTTGAGAATAAGGATTCAATATTAGCGAATTTATATTATAATTTTGTCAAAAATGCTGTAGTAAAAAGCTTTCCATTACAAGTAATTTACATATCTGTTAATTAATTGTCTCCTTAAATCTAGATTTCCTTTTTATTATATTTATCAATTTTTGAGCGGGGCGGTAAATTCCCCAATCAATGATAGTTGGCGCAATAATTTCAATTAATTAATTAATGGAAAGCCTCAAGTTTTGACTCAATTAAGTTAGATTTGAGGAAAGGGTTTTAAAGTAATAATTATCGAATACATTCTATTTATAAGAAACGTTACATTCCAAATTAATAATAGATTTAATAAATCGACCGAGTTTACTGATAGTGTATCAAATAAAGTTGATGAAAGATAAATATCATGACGACAAAGATCACAAGTGGATGGAAATGATTTACTATAATTAAAAATACTTTGCCTATCGAAGAAAAGATGACCGTAATCAATGTATATCTATTATTTCTTTTATTTCAAATGTGGAGAAAAATATGTAACCGTATTTTTCTCTTTTGGATAATTAGATTATAACGGATAAACAACCATAAGCATTTCAACAAGTTGGGCATTATAACAGCCAAACCACAAGAACAATATTTTTTGCGGGAAGAATTAGTAAGATCCTTTCCAGAAAGTCAATAGTTAATCTCGATTGTATTTAATGAAACATTAAAATCAACTCACTCCAGCATTAATTGAATTTATTTGTTTGTTTGTTTGTTGATATTTGCATTAATTTTGTGCATTTTATCTTTATTTTAGCTCCGGTGATTTAATGAGTAATTAATAAAGAAGTAGGTCCTTTATTCCAAAGGGATGTTTATTATGTAATACATTAGATATTTATAATAATTATTTTAATAGACCACCACTTCAAAGGTTACAGTTAATTTGGGTCCATCCACTGAAAATTTCGATCCGAATAGATTCTATAATTACCTGGCTCATTTGACCCGACTCGAGAAAAAACTCGAGTCGGGATTATTTTGTCACGAGCCCTAAGTTCTTAAAACCCGTCGGGTTAGGCTTAACCCGGGTGACCCGAATGATAAGGTGATGTGATGTGATTAAATAGCATGCAAAAGTTACGAGACTTTAATTTAGATACCAATTCTGATAATACAGCTTCTCTTGGAAAATGAAAAGCATTGCGAAGTGGTCTTTTTGCCAAATAACTTTTTGAAAAGATATTCAAAAAAAACCATCGAGAAGTTTAGATGCCTTGACAATATTATTTTTTTAAAAAAAATTTTATAGGATAAATAACATGGTTCAACAAAATTGGTTATTCAAATGCAACAAATCTTTGGTACATTTTGAACTTCATCATTAAATAAATAGGAAAATATTTTAGTAAAGCAAACAAGTGTTCCTGTGAATGAGTTTAGATGTGGTCATAAAGCTAATACAATTCACGCCTGTATGAGTTTGAATTCCTGGTGGCAAAAATATACTAAATTGAAACGTAAGAATTTAAAAATAATAATCTTTCAAAAATTTTCGTTTCATTATTTGTATAAAAATTTTATTACTACGGTATTAATATTACCCTTAAAATTCGAGTCGAATCCGAGTCTAAAAAATATCGTATCGGATTAAACAATAATCGGTCGAATCCTGTAAACATTAACGGGTTCGAGTTCGAATATGCTTTAATCCCGACCCGACCCGACCCTTACGAAGCACTATCTTTAATTACAAAAGAAAACTATTCTAATGACTTATCTTTACAGGTCATGCATTTGGTAAAAAATAAAAAATTGACCTTAAATGAATGCAAGATGTAATTTTGTGAATTTTGTGGCCAAACCTTTTGACGTAACACTAAAACAGATATCTGTGGCACAGTACCACTAATCAGTTTATTAGCGAAAAGATCACCGGAGCAACCATTTATATCATATTAGCTTGTTGTGCTAGTAAGTGGTTTATATAAGGTATAAGTTGTATTGATTTATTGGAATTAAAAAGGATATGTGCTATTATATTAAAAAATGTCAACAATTATATGGTTTAATAATGAATTTAAGATTATCACAAAAAAAGAAATCGATGACGCGAACTTTTGTCGACACGTTATCTTTGAAGAAGTAAACAGAGTATTTTAAAATAGCATTAAAATTATTAATTTATTTTTTAATGTAGTAGCAACTTAGCTGAAATTTTAATACCTGGTCAGTAAATTATGAAATTAATTAAATGCATCACGATATAAATCGTGAATAAAATTTAATAATCTCGAACGCAATCAGAATGAGTTTATTCGATTACGATCTTCTGGACAAAATAGTCCTTAAAATATTAAGTAAAAAATGATAGCTTTTCGACCGATTGTAAAAATTGAGATATATAAGTTTTAGATTAGTATCTTCAAATATGAATATTTTTTGAATAGCTGCAGTAATTTGTATTTTATACTTAAGAAGCAAGCATAAAGCATCGAGTCCGTTGTCCATCACCACCAAATTTTTTTCTCCACATCTCTTGGTTAATTATATTATTTATATACAAATGTCTAAGTGAGTAATACTGTACATATATGAAAAAATGAATTAACATTATAAACCAAGTTAATAAAATTTGAATTTCGATCAAATTAAATTTATGTCTCAATTTTCAAGGAGATAGAGAAATACCAAATAACTTCGATGTTATTTCCTCATAGGAAATATGTCGCACATCTGGGTATTCCTTGACTTACGTGCATGTTTTGTTCCACCAGCGCTGCTACGAATACAAACAATTTTGAAAAAATCACAGGCTGTTCATCTTTTAAAGCTGAGAATGTATTGATTATATTTTTAGGATTCTTGGTAACAACCGTTGTAATGAGATCAATCTATGGATACCGCCATATAAAGAATTTAAATAGTCCTCTATTTGGTTCTTATTTCCATCTTTTCATTCAATTTTGGCAGAACCTGTAACCAAGTCGCTGATGGATACTTGGAGGGATGGATACTTGGAACGTATGTCCAAGAATAAAGTAAAATTAAATATCGGAAATCCCTTATACTGTACTGTAACAACGCATCAGAACATCTTATCTGTATTTATCAGGTAGTTTCTTGAATAACTCAAAACTCTAGATATTTAAATGAAATAAAATTTAGTATTTCCAGCGATATCCGTTGTTTCAAGCCCTACATTAAGAAGTCGCATAATTTCATAAATCTTTTAATTTATATTTTATATTCCAAGATTTATTTAGCACGTGAAACCACTGATTTAAGCCTTGGCAAAACGATTTACAGCAAATATATAGCCAATTATGGTAATGAAACAAAATAGGGTAGAATTCTTAAAGTAATGTGAAGTTATCCATATTCCAAGTTAATAATTATTGAATTGTTTATATACATTCATTTTACAATTACACTTCGCAATATATTTAGCTGTATTTTTTTTTAAATTACTATAAAGTATGCATTTGAATTAATTAATACTCGTTTGTATTTAAGAGAAATTTGAAAATTTTATCTAAAATTAAGATCGTTTTTTTTACGACATTTTTTAGTAATGTTCGTTTAATGAGAAAGATAAATGTATTGAATAATATTTCGTCATAAAGCTGATTACTGGGATTGGAAATTACTTTAAATATTTTTGAACAAAAAAAAATTTATTTTGTAATAATGTGTGAGAAATAGTTTAAATTCCTTTGTTGTTAATTTTAATAAGGGTAACCTTTTTAAAACTTCATTTTTAAAGAATTAGTTGTTAGAAGGATAATTCCTGTTTGCAAACAAGAAATTTATATTTAAAGGTGCATAGGGAAAATTTCTGAATGGCGGACACCGATTAACAATTATACGATACGATGTGAAGATGTTAATTACTAGCGCAAACTTTTAAAATGAAACGCCAATTTTTGAAGATCGGTTTTATCATCTAGTGGCAATTGTGATTGATAAAAAAAAAATAAATTGTTTTTATTTAAAATTATACTAGCGATTGATCTGTCTCATTTGATTTATTACGGTTATTTAATACCGATAATACCGATGAGATAAAGTATTTTTTTTTTAGATAATGTTCCGCTCATATTCTATTGCGACGTGTTGATTCGGCTTATTTTGCTCTCACATCTTTGAGAATTAATAAAAGGAAAAAAAATAAATCATACAATGTCAACGTTTACTTCTCTTGCTAATAATCCAACGGAGTTAGAAGGCTAGTACTGTTGAGCAAGTTTCTTTATACGAAAGATACTTTAGATTGCACGATGTATTATGATTAATTCTTCTTTCTTTTTTTTGCCATATTATTTTTAAAGCCTGCTATAACTTGGTCCAACCATGAACACCACCACGGATTACTCAATTGCTGGTCAAAATACTGCATTTGATAGTTCTTTTGTGGGTCTATCGGGCCTCATATTTCATGAAATAATGTTGTCTCATGGTATAAAACATGTGTTTGGATATCCAGGAGGTGCAATTCTCCTCGTATCTGATGCTATTTAATTTCAAAACATTTTATCCTTATTCTCCCAAGACATGAACAAGGAGCATATGACGGAACGTTATGAGAGAGTTATTGGTAAGCCAGATATATTTTGGTTACTTCTGGTCCTGAGCGACAAATGATGTTACTCCATTACAGGACGCTATTTGGGTGATACACTCTTAATTTCGGGGATAACGTGTTTATATTTCTTCATTTGTATTATAGTTTACTTTTGTTCTTTAATTTCCGCTTGGAATCCTTTACAATGTCTATTTATTTATTTCTTTACAATGTATTTATTAATTGCTACTTCTAATGAAAGTGAAAAAAAGGCATTTCTAGAAGAATAAATAATTCCACCGGTGTATACGTCATACGAAATGCGATAAGCATTATTCCATATTCAGTTACTAGGTTTATTCTTATATAAACATCGTGCGCATGTGATAATATCTATATCCATGAATAACTAGTTAACTGAATATGGAATAACTACTTCATTATTATTGTTGCAAGAAATTTCTCGAATATTAAATATTTTAAAATTTTGTGAAGAGACGAAGGATTATTACGTTATCATGCTTCATTCAAAACTTAGGGTTGAATAAGTCCAGTCATTCGAACCGAGACCTGTAAGTACTAAGTACCATTAACTGGTCTTACTATTGGCTCGTAGCGTCTAGTTACAGCAAATCAAATTTTTTTAGGGTGTCAAATTTATAAAATACATGCGAGTTTAAGGTGCCAAATTTATAAAATTTATATAAATCATGTGATTTATATTTTGACTAGCATTCTATTATGCATTAAGAATAAATCATAAAATTTGATTTACATTTTTTTTTTTTGTGTGAATAAGAATTTTTTAATATAATTAGTCTAAACCAATTATTTATGAACTGTCTGACTGGTAAATTCTATCATATTTTATAAAATTACCTTTTTTTTTCTCATTAGAAATTTGTTACAAAAAGGATTGTTCACAAAAAGAAATATTTTTTATAAGATAAACTAAAAAGAGATTAAATCAATTAAAATCTTGATATAGTTTAAGTTTTAAATTAATAAACATCAATGGCAAATTTTAATTGCCCAATAATATCCACCTATTTTAGGTACCAAATTTATTACAATATATAGAATTGTTTTTAAATGCTTATTTCTCTTAAACTAAAAATTGAACTTTAAATCTCTTTATTACAGCTAATTTCATAATTTGTGAATCTATAGTTGCCTGATGAAACTCCTGGATTTAGAATGTTGAAAATGTCAAAATAATAATACAATCATATAAACTAACCTGTCGAAACTTGTCGAAACACGTCAAAACCTGCCAAGCTATATCAAACAGTCGAAACTATATTATGGACTTATTAAAAACCTGTTAAAACTAGAGGTTTAGATATTTCGACAAATCCAAAATAGGTTTCATCAGGCAACTATATGTGAATCACTAATGAATTGCGACTGAATACAACTGAATAATTATTAATGGTTCATAAATTATAAAATTAGTTATAATTTAAATTACACGTTATAAAGAATATATAAATAAAATGATTTTATCTAAATTAAAAATTTATTTTTTAAATAACAAATTAAATTTTGCTTATAAAATTTATTGTAATTAGATATTATAAGTCAATAGGACTGATCTAATAAACATAGTTAGAATTTGATAATGTAACATTATAGTTATTATTTCTTACTATTTTGTTAATATTTTATATATTTAATTTCTCAAAAAAAGATATAGGTTAGTACGTTATTACGTCTGATTTATAACTCAAATAAAATTCACAAAAATTAATAATGCTAAGACTAAACTCAGGGAATCACAAAAAAGATTTGTAGTAAACGTCAAAGATTATTCTCAATTAAACACAAGTAACTTCTGGATATTTCAGAGCTTACATTTCAGTAACTACACCTTAAATCAATACAATGAATCAATACAATACTACGCAAAGTTAATAAACAATAATAATATATACACAGGTTAAAGGGGTTGCGAAGGATAAGTTTTAACTTGTTTAATTATACTCTTTATTAATAATATAATAAATTGTAAATTCTCTACCTCATAAGGTCATTAGTAAGGTTGCTTATCTAAACTCATTTTGGATTTGGCAAAATGGTAAAACCTTTAGTTTTGCTAAATTTTTACTAAGTG